GGGGGGGGGGGGGGGGGGGGGGGTGGACTTGATTTTGCTGTTGTGATCAGCAAGCATCAGGTTATTTTTTCCCCCATGATTGCTGACGTATCTCTGTCGCAGCAGGTCTCTTTTTTTTTTAACGAATGCGTATCATATCAAATCACCGTATGTTCGGCGCGGCTTTCTCCCTACCCCCCTGTTTGTGTCACTGTGTCACGTGTGCGGGTCTGCCCTTGCTGTTGCTGATGTTGTCGTTGCCGTTGTCGTTGTCGCTTTCACTGCGTGTTGTCGCTATTGTTGTTGTTGTTGTTGTTGTTGTTGTTGTTGCTGTTGTTGCTATTGTTGTTGTTGTTGTCGTCGTCGCAGCCGTTATCCTTGTGTTGCTGTGGCTATGCATACGTTTACCGTGTGTGACACAAGATAACACACCCCCTGGACCAATTTTCAAAGCTCGATTGCTCCACGACGAAGTGGATGCATAAACGAAACGATACATTTTTGGAAAGCTCTCGACGAGACGGTTCCAACGCCGCTGTTTTCGGCGTTGCGACTTTTCCTGTAGTTGAGAAATCGAGCTTCGAAAATTGGCCAAGGGGGTGTGTTACCTTTTGTCATATACAGTATGTTGCTTCTGCACTCGCGTTATGATAGAGGCCGTGTGTTTGTTTGGCGCCCTTATTTTTTGTCTTTTCGTCAACGCAAAGCGCATGTCTACCTGCCCTTGCTTGCTTGCTTGCTTGCTTGCTCGCTTGCTCGCTTGCTCGTTTGCTTGCTTGCTCGCTTGGTCTATTACTCAATTGCTTGGTTTCTTGCTCGCTTTTGCTCGCTGGCATGCCTGGTTGCTGAACCGAAAGAAGACTCCGTTCACCGAGGACGACGTGCGGCGCAACAAGGAGTGCAACCTGGGCATCGCCAATGTGCACGCCGTCAGGGCCCACGTCGAGAATGGAAAGGTTGCCCTCAAGAGGTGCGTGGTTGTTGTCGTTCTAGGTTATCGTCGAAGTCTCATGCACCCACCCTTGTTGTATTTTAATGTTGGTTTGCATGTCGATGGGCTGACTCTTATCCTCCCGTCTCTCGGCCATCGGTCGGTCGTACGTTTGTTACGAGCACTACGGTGCCGCATACACCTTCCACGGTGTTCTGTATTAAACTTCCCGGTGTTCTCCGGTACGGCCGAACGTGGACGCTTGGGACCGGTGTGTTGGAACGCCAGTGCTCCAATGCTTGGCTTGTCCTTTCGAGCTCTTCGCGTCTGAACCACGATATATTTTCAGCCCCCTAAGGAGGGGGTTGGGTGTGGCAAGACGTTTTCGCACAAACGCGACGTGTTTGTGAGTGTGTGTGTGTGTGTGTACGCGCGCGCGTCGTGTGCTGTTTCCTCCCGGGGCTGGTGTTTCGGTTAAGGCTACATTTTGGAGGGCATACACATGTTGATAGCGACAGCTTTGCACGTTTTAGATGTCCCAAGTTTCTGCCTCATTGCCTACGCCGCTGGCCTTTGTCATGTGGAAGAAAGACCCGCTGGCACCCTGCTGAGGTCGACGGCCTCTTGCTGCTCCCGGTGCTGTATCTGCTCGCGATCATGACTTTGACGAACACGATTTATAGCGAAATTGCTGGCGTGCTTTTCGACGACGATGATAATGTACTGCTGTGTAACGTCTTGAGTGTTTTTTTTTTATGTTTCGATATCACTCCACCACGTCCTTGTTCTTTGCTTGGCTCTTTTTTGTTTGTTTGTTTGTCAGAAAGGAGATCGAGCGCGCCATCGACTGCGCCGAACGAGCGCTGGCGCTCGCGCCTAACCTAGAGTCTGCCCAAAAGTTGATCGTGAGTCGTAAATGCACCAGCAGGAGAGCAATAGTTGACAGCCGTAACTCAACACAGAAGCGCGAGTGGTCAACTTAGACCGAAATTTCATGTGAAGTAGGTCGATTGCTCCACAAACCAAGGGGGAGAGAGGCTGTTGCCGGAAAGGACCCCGTACGAAAATATGAATCTCGTCGAGAGCTAGCTTGCTTTCCCTGCACGTGTCGTGTCCGCCAAGTTTAGCACGCTATTGATTGTGGAGGATTTGGCTTGCCCTGTCCAGCCTCACGGGGGGGGCGGGGGTTGCGACCACGTGCACCATTGCTGTAACTGATACCCTAACCGGTTTACTGCTGATAGTGTTGTGCCGGTTGTGTTGACGAATACCATGGCAGCACGTGCATGCACGCAGTCGCAATGTTGGAATTCTTGGGTCTCGCGGAACTTTGGCAAGGCCAAGAGACCACGGTATTTTTCTGCGCCTTGGTTGTTGGTGACCGACGGCCAGTGTTCCAGCGAAGACCACGGTAATTAACTGCGCAGCGGTTATCACTTGACCGCAGTATTTGGGCTCTTGCTTCTTCAGCCGCCGCTCTTGTGCCGTTGCCTCTGCTGCTGCTGCTGTTGCTGCTGCTGCTGCTGCAGCTGGATGCCCTCGAGCAAGGTCGACGGCAGTGGGAGGAGGCCCAGAGAAGGTGCGAGGTGTGGGCTCACAAGCGGGCCAACTGCGATTCCGAGTCGGGCAGGAATAGCCTCGCGGGGTACGCGGAGGGCGGCGGCCCGCCCGAATTGTGCATCGCCGCCATGCACGCCTCGCTCCAGGAGGGGTACTGCAAGGCGTTGCGGTGAGTGAGGAGGGGGGGGGGGGGGG